GTGCTTGGCAGGTTGAGTTTCCCAGCAAAAACTGTCAAAAAGTGACATGGGTGTCAGAATGTAGACTTCGCCAGCCTAAAAATTGTTGAAACTTGCAGTTACTCATTTTACTTGTGAGTGGGCATGATTCTATGGTCAGTTTTTAATTATTATTTTTTTTTAATAAAGTCTATACCATCAGGATTATTTCCAAAGCTCCCAGAGGAGTGAAGTGCACAAGACCATGTTCTACGATTCAGACAGGCAAGAAAATTACTTTTGAAGTCTGTTTAACTGAGATGGGAAGGAGTGGCAGTAATGAAGGTAGAAATAAGCGAACAAATGTGTGAGCAAGTGAGCAGCTGTTCGAGGCAGTAGCTGTGAGACTGAGCAAACAAAGTGATGGAAAGTGAGACTCCACAAAGCTACCTATCTGGGAATGGAGAATAAGATGGCTCGGAGTGAAGACCATACGTCAATTGGTCCTAATTGAGTGTCTTTCCTTCCTTCCCCACTTGCAACTGACACGTCGCCCCCAGGTCCATTTCTACATGACTTCATGCCATGTAGAAAACGAGAGCGATGAATGATAACGGGAGACGAGGACGGAGCTTGTCATCTCTCCTTCCCTGGCTTCTCACCCACAGCCCTCGTGACTCACTGTGGGGCTGAGTTTCTCCAACTTTTGAGGTACTGAAGTCACCAACACTTAAAGACTGCAAATGCATGCCAGTTGAAGGAAAGTGTGGCAAACTGCTGACAACTAAACTGAGATCAAATTCTTGAACTGGTGTTGGAAAAACTCAGGCAAGGAGGAGTAATTTGGTGCTTCTGCTCTGCTGTGAAGCCAGACTGCTAATTCGACACACTTGGCAGAGTGGGTACTAGCAACGAGGGAAAACCAGACGAAAACATTTAGATAATTCAAAAATAGTGCATTTCCATTGCTTTTTATTCATTTCTGCTTTCAGTCAAGGGGGCAATTTTCAGTCAGAAGACATGAGCAGCAATACTTATTTTTAGGATGGGTACAGTTCACCTTGTCAAACCATAAGCCAGAATGCTTATGTTTTGAGAACGATGCTTTTCCTTCAGCAGGCACATGTAAGATGATCAATCTGACGGAGGTTGATCTGTTAACCAGAAATTGGGCAAACATTCCAATGCTTATATATGTAAAGATGAGGTTTGTCCAAAACAGTCTGCAAGTCTAATTCAAGCAAAAGATGACTTTGCTTAGTTGTAATGATTTGTTTTAATGTGAATATTTAATGTGCACCGATTATTGCTTTTGGTGTTAGATTTGTTTGCTTTGGTTTTTTGTTTGTTTGTTTTCTGCCAACCCCTTCCCATGGTTCCTTCCTGTAAATCACTTAAGGTATAAAAGACAGTTGGGTTTTCTTAGTGTGGAATGTGTTGGTGAACACATGATGTGCAGTACACATATGATTTGACCTCAAACTTGATTTTATTGTTTTGCATCTACCGGTCAAAACTAACACTGGAGTTCAAAACAACCAGTCCTGAAAGTTCAGTAGCTGATCCCAGCAATATCGTTCTCTCATGTGGGATTCAGTTATTTCACTAAAGTCATGTTGCTGTTTTTCACTTTGTCTTTATGTGGTATATAAAGCCATTGCTGTGGTTAGCTTAGTAGCGTACTTTTTAAATCAAAGATTTATTTATTTTTATTTTTTGTCACAGACATGCGTTCAGCACACTTGCTGTGAACAGATATGTTTAGCTTAAAATGTGTACGTAACTGATACAAACTGAATGTCAAAACTGCAACTGTTGTAAGGCCTTAAAAGAACATTTTAGCTGTATAAAATAACTGGAATCCATTGCAGGGGGGGAAAAATAGGTGCAGGAAGGGTATCATCTCTTCCATTCACTTAAAAGTGAGCTTTCTCAAAGCTTGGAGGGTTGATTTAAACTGAATGTGTTAGCTGATCGCTTCAGGGAAAATTTCACAAGGAATTTAAACTATGGGTTGTAAACCTGAGAAAAGAAACACGGTAAGCACCAAGGCATTTTCTAAAGAAGCCCAAAGACAGCCTATTACATTATAACTCCAAGATCAAACCTCCACACATTTCCATCATTTTGCATCTGTGGAATAAAAGCGGTGGAATGCAAGTGCTGAGTAGTGAATACATATCAAAAAACAGATTTTGTCAGGCCATTTGGGCAATGAGAAGCAGGTGGAGTGTAAAAGGAAGGTTGAAGAGGTGTGTGCGCATATACACCAACATTCACACATACACGCACGCACACAAAGCGCTTTGTTCCCCGGGGTAGACCATGGAGCCGTCAGAACCACTCTGATTTTGAATTAACCCTGATTGGCTGTCATTGCACTCCCTTCTACACAGCTGAGACCACTCAAAACTGCACACATGCACACACAATCATATATGCACACAAACACATACACTTGTATGGTCTGGGCATCATGTTTCACTAAACCGCTGAGTTCTCTAAGCTGGAACTAGGCCTGTTTTGTACATGTGCGTACCTTTGTGTATACGCCTGCACAGAAGCGATCTATGCAATCTAAATAATTTCAAATAGAGTGTACATAGATATTCTTCTCTGCTTTATTTTTACCATCAGAATATTAATTTAGAATTCTAAAAATTAATAAATTATATTAAAACACACAAGGAAGAAGATTTAATTAAACATTTAACAGTCAGTTCTGTATTTAACACTTTAATTTCTCTATATGGTCTTTTTCCTGGTACTATTGCAGTCTGGCATTTTCTGACTAATGAAGCCCATTCTAGACCATTTTAGTCTATAAACCAACTGAAAAATAAATGGGAAATTATTTATATTTCTCCAATGAAGATTACAGATTGAGCTTGAGATTAGCTGCGGCTAACTTCACCTGTCTCATTTCCAATGCAAACTTCTGAAAGAGCTAATCATTTGAGACATATTCATGACATTCTCTTTCTAGTTTTATGCGTTTTTCTTTAGATATGTGTATTGAATAAAATAAGCAGGTAGATTCCCCCCATTCCGCCCTACCATGTTGTCTGGATGTTGTTTTACTGGCTATACTTTAATACCATCTAGTGGTAAAAACTGTATCTGCACTCATAACAGTGTTCTTTTGTAGTCTAATCTTAATGGAAATAAATGTATTTGTTCTCCTATTTAGCTCAAAATAACATCCACTATGTTTGGGAGCTTATTCCACTGTGCAGACTTTATGTGCAAACAAAAGGGGCCCATTGTCCTTTATCAAAACTGACAGCACAGGTAAACATAAGACTTCATTGAACTTTACATCATATACCCACATCAAAACCATACATGGAGTTTTGCTTTCATTCTTTCATGCATGTTTGAGAAATCCTTGAATCTTCTGTGGAAACTGTTTGGGGTGTCGAAACATCTGGTCTCACCAAGCACCGCCGGTTCCATGCAGGTCCTCAATATTCCAGGCTTCTGCCTCAGAGGTCATCAACCCCACCTTCTCCAGTTAGCTCCTTCAGACTAGTTGCTTCTGCAGTTAGGAAGCACCTGGTGGAACTGTGAATTTGCAGAGCTTATTATATGATCTATTCCTCAGTCCAATGTTATGAAAAACTTTTGTAAATGTTGAGATGTCTTTTCCATTTGCACAACAGCAGGTGATATTGATTGTCAAACTGTCCTCTTTCTAAGTGGACAGTTCAATTTCACAGAAGTTTGATATACTTGGAGTTATATTGTGTTGTTTGAGTGTTCCCTTTATTTTTTTGATTTTTTATTTTTTATTTTTATATATCTCACAACTGTGAAACCTGAATATGAATGGAATCGTCCAATGTTTATGAAGACGTTTACTTTTCATCACCAAAAGTTGTTTTATTTTTGCTTGAAGTCATCAACCTGTGGGGATGGCAGATTAAAATTAGCATGCATGACAAGATTAAGTACTGTGAATGAAAGTTGAAATTTATTTAGTGAATTAGTCTATTTTGTGATTCAATATAATAATAATAATAATAATAATAATAATAATAATAATAATAATAATAATAATAATACATTTTATTTTAAAGTGCTTTTATGAGTACTTAAAGACTTTTTACTGGAGTACAACAATGTAAAATCAAACAATTTATCACTACATGTAAAAACACGCAAAAAGGGCAGATTTAAACAACAAAAGCCATTTTAAACAGGTGGGTTTTGCATTCTTGTCAGTGGGGAGATCAGAGCACATACAGAGCAATTGAAGCACTAAGTTCCAGAAGGTGGCAGCAGAATAGCCTCTCCCAGGTGAGCACAGTGTCAGAGCTGATAACTCCCAAATAAAAGGGTAACTTTTGTTTGATAGTTATCAGTAGCACATATACGATCAGGAATTGTAACTTTTTGAAACTTTGATAAAATAATTAACAAACACATAAATAGACACATGAGCTTCATTTGTTTCCGTATTGTTTCTGTTGACCACAAAAAGGTTTCTCGTATGGCGGAAGCAGAAATGCTGCAGTTTCCCATAAACCACTTGGCACCGTTTCTCTACTGATCTTGTTTCTACATGTCACTTGTCACAAGAACAGCCGCCATTGTAGTACTAACACATCACAATGCAGGGTTAGTAGGATGTTAAATTTAATCCTATCTGTTTTACATTGCCAAAAAATAAAACATAAAATAATTGTTTGATAAGCTGACCTTTTATTTGCAAATGAACACCTTGTAGGAGATATATTTGCATAACTCTGTTGTAAACAATAATCTTTTGCATTTCATCATTTCATAACATGAAACCTGAGGTTCTTTTGGGTGAAAAAATGTTTGAAACCTGTTGGTTCTTTTTCTCTACAAAAATGTATTGTTTTTTTACTAGTTCTTTGTATGCTGTGACAACACCCTGTCGTCAGGTTTTTTTTTGTTTGTTTTTTTTTCCGCCTGGGCCCAAAGTTCAGATTGTGTTTGACGGCACTCCCCTTACCGACTCTGTGATTGGCCAGCCTTCTGGTGAACAGGGAAGTTTGCAGTGCTGGTTTCTTATCACTGAGATTCCAGTTCCGAAAGCTGCTCTAAGAGGAAATGCACTCATTTCTGTTCCATTCAGCGTGAGCCGGTGCTTTGCTGTGGTGTTTGACGGGCATACCTTTTTGAGACAGAGCAAAGACGTAAACAGATTGGATTACATGGACACTGGTGGCAGAACAGACAGAAATTCATAAAGTTGAAGATGTCTGGCAGTTAAGTTTTGTTTTGTTTTTTTTTCTAAGAAGGCTTCCTGACTGCGTTTTGAGTGTGGCCTGCTGAGGACTCGGCACCATCAAATACATGCCTGTAGAGGGCGCAATCTGACAAAATTTGGCTTCTTTAAGGTTTGTCTCAGCATTATTTTGCTCCCGCATTAAGTTAGTATTTTTAACTTTTATTCCAAGTGAAATTGTCTTATGTAAATAAGTCAAACAAATATTCCCTTAAAACTTTCTATTCCTGATTTAAATTTTTGCTGAAACAACAACCGATTGGAGTGAATACTAAATACTAAATTAAATTTATGATAATTATCACTAAATTGAATTGCTATGTATATTTTGACTCATAAAAATGGTTTTGACCATTTCAAATTTGAAACCTCAAACCTTCTCATTTTCACACGTAGACATGTAGCCAAACCTGATCTGCCTGTTAAACAAGGAAGTTAATGCAAGAAAAAAAAAAAAAAAGATCTGGTTACTTGTGTTTTTAGGTGAGGTTTGACTTGCAAAGGCAGAACTACAGGAAGCAGAGCTGTGAAAGCTCACTTCTGCATGCAAGCACAGGACATCGGGGATTTTAAAAATGCTGAAACAACTCTTGGCCTTTGTGTCACTTTTTGCCTTCCTCAGCCTTTTGTTTTATTCTGTGGTGTTATACCATTATAAAAATGTTTATTATGGTATTCATGTTGTTCACCGCTTTGTAAATGAAAACCAGACATATTCCTGGAAGTTACTAGATAATTTAAATGTTCCGAGTTCCGAGGTCAGTGTCACAAGGAAGCCAATTAGCCCAACAAAAATTTTGGATCCATGTCCCGAAACATCACCAAAACTTGTGGGTCCTCTGAAAGTGGAGTTCAATACAAGACGGACATTAGAAAATGTGAAAGCGGAGTCAAGTTCTTCAGAACTTCAGATGGGAGGACGGTACAAGCCACCTGATTGTATCTCCCGACAAAAGGTAGGAAAAAACTCATAACTCTTCAATTAAAGCAAATAGCAAAATTGCTACTATGATGTCTTATGTCACAAAACATATGTTTTTTAGTCATGAAAGACTGAATTAACTCAGAATGTAGAAAAAAACATCCTATTCCCATTTTTAGGCAAATCATTTTTGAAAAATTATTCAAAATGTTACACAAAATAGACAACAGTGAAAATTAAACTGAGATGTATTAATTAGAAAATCAGATCTTATTTCTGTGCTATGTCCTTTTTTAGGGAGTTTGATCAGTTAATCAGTTTCCCTGTAACTGAACAAGTTCTACCTGTTTGTTTGGTGAATTCCTGTTTTGTCAACTATTTTCCAGTATGCAGAGGCTTGTAAAAGTAAAAGTAAAAAGTCATTATAAGTCATTATAAGATGCAAATAAAAACATAAAAGACTGTTGTAGTAGCATGATCCACAGTGAAAAAGGCAAGGTGTATGAACAGTTTAAGACTTTGTATTTGCAAGTGAAGGTAAAGAAGATGAAAAGAAAAACTAGAAATAAACAACCTTACTTTCATTGCAGAAGTTAGTTTGTGACTAACTTCCACACAATAGTGAAAAAATGGACTTCCAAAGTGCTTGAGTAAAAGGTAACTCGGCTTCTTCTCTTGTTTCTTGAGCGCAATTCTAAAAATAATGTCTACCCACCGTAGATTCTCGACTAAACGGCCTCTTCAGTTTGAAGTTACTTTTTCAACATGGCTGAGAAATGGACTTATAGTCCTGGGAGTTTATAATGAACCCGGAGTCAAACCTGAAATGCTAAACAGGAGTTTTTTACTATGACTTTACATCATATTTGTAAAACGTTACCCAACTCAATCTTACCATTTCTATCATTTCTAACCATTTTTCAATAGTAAGGAAGAAAATTTTAAAAAGTCTCAAATTTGTCATGACAATTATGAATGTATGTATAAAGTAATTTCACACATGATTTTTTATTTTTATTTTTTCAGGTGGCAATTATCATCCCATTCCGAAATCGACATGAGCACCTGGTACATTGGCTTTATTACTTGCATCCTATCTTGATGCGACAACAGCTGGACTACGGCGTGTACGTCATCAACCAGGATGGGGAAGGAATCTTCAACCGAGCTAAACTGATGAATGTTGGATTTGCAGAAGCACAGAAGGAATATGATTATGATTGCTTTGTCTTCTCTGATGTTGACCTGGTGCCTCTTGATGACCGTAACATCTACAAATGCTATGACAATCCCAGACATTTGGCTGTGGCCATGGACAAGTTTAACTTTCATCTACCCTACAATACCTACTTTGGTGGGGTCTCCTCACTGTCGAAGCAACAGTTCTCTAAAATAAATGGCTGTCCAAACAGTTACTGGGGTTGGGGCGGTGAGGACGACGACATTTACAGGCGCGTCATCTTCCATGGAATGTCCATTTCTCGACCAGATGGAGTGATTGGGAAGTACAGGATGGTCAGGCATCAAAGAGACAAACACAATGAGCCCAATCCAGAGAATCCCGGAAAACTTAGTAAAACGAAGTCTACCATGGACAAAGATGGACTAAATACCCTCAGCTACACAGTCAAGGATATCTCAAAGGATTTATTATTTACTTTCATCACTGTGGACATTCAAGCTCCAGCAAGTTGATGGAAATTGTAAAATATGGGTAAATTACAGGGTAATTTACTGTGATCAGTAAATTACTGAACACAGAGTCTGTTGTGTTCAGTAGGTTGTCAAACGTTAAACTCTTGAGGGAAAATGACAGGTTTTCTGTGAGGTGCTGATTTAAATGGTTTACGGTTTAGAAGAAAAGCAACTTTCCTTTTGTGCCAAGCTTTTGAAGAAGAATCATGATCTGCTTGTCTTTTCTTTTTTATATCTTTACAGTGGTAATCTGTAAAACACGTGGGAAGCAAGTGTGTCTAATGGAACTGAAATAGCTGTGAATGAATGAAAACCCTCTCTGTGTGAATGTCTCCAGGTTAGCCATAAAGGAAGTGTGAAATTTGTGGCTAGAATTGTGAAAATTACGATAGGAGAACTTTTGTATCTTTAAAAAAGTTAGGAATGGCATGTTAAAAGGTTTAAGGTTTGTAGCTGACAAGTTTGTCAGTCTCTATCTGATCAGTTCCATCAATATGAAATAGCTTAGATATATCTATGTAATGTGCATAAGTGATACGCTTTTGAAACCAATGATGTTTATGTAGCCATATCAAGGCTGCAAAATTTTGTCTCTTTTTTTCCTTACACTTATTTCCACTTAATTGTCTTAATTTACATTACAAATATAAATTCATATTGAACAACACCTATTTCTTTGTGTTCTCATTTTTCAGTTTAATGATTGAGAATTAAATACGTTTTGGAGATGGTCTTTAGATAGATTAGTCCTTTTATATGTAAGTTGCAATTGCTGCCGAGATCAAGTTGCATAAATCTCCAGGAATTCCCTTGGAATCTGTTACACGTATCTATTCTAACCAGATGAATTGAATTAGAAATGCATATTACATGCTTTTAGCACACCAGCAAGAAAAAAAAATCTTGTGTGTGTTTCTATTGACAGACAGGATTATTACCCAGCATGGAGATCACTGTATAATTTTAAATCAGTTTGAAATACTTTAAGTGGGATTCTATGAAGATGTTTCACAATGAGCAATGACAACAATATTTTTTTTTTTCCCAGAAGATAGCAAAAGTTAACAAATTAGTCTGATTAATACAGTGAAATAATCCACTTCATCAGCTGATCTGATAAACCAGCTGACTGTGTTCCTGCTGGAAAACATTCCAAACCACAAAACTTTTAAAGCACAAAATGCCATACTGTTGCATAACTGTAGCAGACAAAAACTTGAAGCTGACAATGTCCACCTAGCAAGCTGTGGTGTGTGCCACTCCAAAAAAGTATCTAATTTCCAACAAACTCTGGGGGACGTAACGTCTCTATAATACAGACAGAAGATCTGCATAACTTTACTGAACGTCATGTCAAAAGCTCTAAGCTCCCCCTTATATCATCTTGACTCCACTTTAAAACCTAACATTAGTTCAGCTCATTATGAAGTAAAATTCCACTGTCAGTTTTTTGTTTTGCTATTTCTTTATCACTATTTAAATGAGTGAAATGTTCCTATTGCTAAGTGCAGCACGCATGCTCATGAGATACCCATTTTATGTGATTTTATTCACATTGTTCACCTGTCGTATTTGCAACTATTGTGGAAACCCCCATGAGCTGTTTTCAGTTTGGATTTTTACATACCAAAACCACCAGACCCAGCAAAGCAAGTACCCAGAAAGACTGAGAGGCAAAGGGAATTGCAGTAAGTTCAGTAGAACCAGTCAATGGAATGATCCATCCATATGAAGGATACAAAGCAATTCACTAAGTATTGCATAAAGTATAACATCAGCAAATGTCTGTTGTGTAGCCATGGTGCATTGCACTGGATTTTATGTCTTTCAGATTATGTCTGTGCTAATCTGCCACATAACTCGCTGAAACGAAACCAGCAGAACATAATAATTAAGGTAGCGAAATGTTAGCATTGATCTGAAAAAAATTAAAATAATAAAAAAAACAATAATAAATATAAATGCAGATGTATTAGTTTATTAAAATTGGCACTCTCCTCATTGCTTGTTTGCTCCAGCTCTGGCATTCACTTACGCATGAACAAAAATATGTGGTATGTGGAAGTGCAAGTCACATGCAAATTTTCCACCTGGCTGAGAGCATTTTTATTCTGTTCTTTCAAAACACAATTGGTATTTAAGTAGATGGATTTCAGCACTGCTAATGTTTTCAGAGTTAGGTAGAGACTAGTTGCATTTTTATTAAGAGTCATGAACTTTTTACTGTTCTTCTTATTTTAATTGTGTAATATTATTTCAGTGGCCACTGAAAAATATGTCCTTCATTCAATGAATGAAGGACACAGCCATACACCTACAGTTAAAGTTAAAGTTATAACATCCACTCTTGTTATTATTTTAAGTTTGAAAACAATGATTTGGAAAGGTCTTCTCCTCTCTGCCAAATCTCTGTTATTTTGTAATTATTCGTTTTTGTTTGTTTGATATTTACTTTTAATTGAGTATAAATTAATTAAAGTAGAGCTACTCTTAGTTGATTACAATTTTGGATCTTTTATCCACCTCTGATTTCTGTGAAACAATTGGATTGGTTCAGAAATGAGTAAATGTTAACAAGCACCAAAGAAATGTATTATGAAACACCTTTCAGTTTCTGTCAATGATTTATGAATACCTATCTATTCATAAATCTATGACACAACATTAGAGACCTTTCAGTCTTTGTTAATTTTTAATGAATACCTATCTATTTATAAATCTATTCTTCTGCAAGAAGAGTCAGTTCGAAGATTCTCTGTCAACATATTATTGTACAGTATTTGTAACCTCGTCAGTACCAACTTGTTTACATTGGTTTAATTATCTCCTGTCCTGTTTATCCCATGAATACCATATTTTAAATTAGCAGAAATAGAAAAAGTTGAAGTTGAAAATTTTGCCCAACAAGACTGTCTTCATTGCAAACACTTCTGGAATTTACAGCTTCTGTCATGATGTGTTGTGGTGGAAGGCGGTGAGGTAATGCAGCAGAAACAGGTTGAAGTGAACATGATGGTTTTAATGATAAAAATATCCAAAGGTCCAAAACAGTCAGAAGCACAATCCAAGCAGTCCAAACACCAGGCAGCACGGGAGGCAAAGGCTCAACACTGGTAGAAACTGATGAAACGAATGGAAGGAGAGAACGGCTGGACAGACAACACTGAATACACAGCTCCGACAAGGACTCAATGAGGAACAAGGAACACAGGTAGGGTTAAATACACAGAGGGTAATCACGGAAGTAGTCTCCTGGGAATAATCAAGAGGAGACAGAACAACAAGGAGACACAGAGACACAGAAACTCAAAATAAGCACACAGAAAACTCAGCTTCCTTTTAATTCCACTTTAAGAAAAGCTTCATGTTGCCAGAGCAAGTTGGATTTAGCTCAAATTCATCATATAAAAAAAAAATTGCTAAAATCGCTGGGATTTATGTACCTCCTGATGGATGCAACTGTGTCTTGCAGATCATATTGATTCATATTGTTATTTTCTTTCTGGTTTTTTTTGGGTGTATTTCTAAGCGGGGTTTATACAAAATTATATATCCTTACAGGTGGAAATCCCAGGCATCAGAAACAAAATCTTTTTGAACAACTTCTATTTACTCTAGTCTCATATAATTAGAAACATTTATATACTCAGGGCAAATAAGGAATAAAACGTAAAAATCTAGGTTCTTCTGACATTACTTTTTACAATAACTTATGTTGTGACTCGTCTGTTCAAGATGCAGATCTGATAGTATCATAACAAGACATTTGTTAAACATCCAGTTCCTAAGTTATTAAAGTATAAGTTGTTATTTTAGCTTTTATCTATTTGGACCTTTGGCGCACTGAGAGCTTTTTAGTCTCAGCGCTTAGGAATCTTGTGATTCATTATTTAGTTTTGCTTTCCTGCTCACAAAATGAAATTTGATACGATTAGACACTTCCTGCTTTATTCTTTGAGCAACATTTGATAAGGAATACAATAAGGAAACACATGCTTGCTATATTCCTCACTCAGAGCCATGTGACTTTTAAATGACTCTTTCAAAAGACACTAAAATCATTGTTCAAAAGCTAAAAAGTCCCGTCAGTGAGGTAAAAACATAATCCAGATTCATATGTCCTGCAAATTCAATCTACCTTCCCTGTTTATTTCTAGAGTATCAGTTGTGTTTGATCACTGAATCAAAAACATATTTACTGCCAAGTTATCCACAAGAGAGAAGACTGATACAGTAACATGTTAAGAGGAATACCTAGGGCTGAGAATTAAATATATATATATATATATATATATATATATATATATATATATATATATATATATATATATATATATATATATATATATATATATATATATATATATATATATATTTGTTGGCTTTTTTCTCACTCTGAGTCTCAAGACTGATTAATTCATGTGTTTACACAAACAAAACCAGGTGGATTTATCGTTAGCACTTTTGAATATGTATGTCGCCATGTGATTTGGAGTCAGTGGGTTTTCGAATTAATGCTTTTCTGCACCAGTTCGACTCCTATTGCATTCTGTGTTAAGAACCCCACCCCCATTCCGTCACCCCCTTTTTCTTCCGCCCACCATTCCCGTCCCCATCTTCCTATCCTCCTTCCTGCCCAGCCCCCTCTTCCCATTGGTTGACCTACTGGAGTTGCTATGGGAACGACTGCCAAGAGGCTGCCATGCAGAGTGTGGGGTGCTGCTTTCAAGTGATGCTCCATCATGCACTAACAACCACATATTTATTGAGGTCAGGAAACCCATACTTACCACAATGACATCAGTTTTAAAAGGCATGAAGATGACTGTCACTTTTCTTGTGCGCTCACATGAAATCCACCTGCATCAGCACTCTGGTTCATTTTTGTGAAATTTAGCGCAAGTGTAATACAATTCAAAAGTTTGTCTCATTATATCTTCTGTTGTTATTTTATAAACAAAAACCCACCCTTTCTGTCTTGAGTTAAGATGCAAGTCACATGAGCAAAAAGAGTTTTACAATTTTCTTCCAAACTTGACATATATTTTTCACACTATTTCATATTTCTCATGTTTCATAAGAAGCTACTAGTCCTCTCTGTTAGCTTTTCTGAGGACAGCTTTTCAGACAATTTTTGATGGAAAGTTGAGTGGAAGGAAAATGTACACAAGCAATTGGGTTTAATCTCATATTCAGGAGCTGAATATGAGTGAAATGTGCAAGACATTGTGGAAATTCTCCTTTAACAAAGAGTGAGGCAGAACTGTTTCGTTTTAGATCAGCCAACCTCATGCCAAACCGCCAACCCACATATGAAGCTTTGGTTTGAGCTGCAACTTCAGGCAGAAGTCCATCAAGGATATATATTTTTGCAGCCATGCATCATATTTCACCACATTGGGACGCATTTCATTGCACAAGGCCTTCAGTTCTGTGCCAAACTTTACACCATCTTCTCTCGGGTCAGGAAGGAGGGAGGCTGCTGATGTGATGTCAGCACCAGTCTAGGAGCAATGAAATAACATTGCTCCAGCTTCGGCACATGCCACTTCCATCATTGGGCAACTGTCTGGAGGTGCATGGAGTCGTTGCGTCACTCAGCCGCTCCCCCTTCATGTGTTTTGGATCTGGTGTGGGCAGAGACAGGGCCTACAATGGGTTTAGTTG